AAATATTTTAAAATTATTAAACATTTAAAAATTAACTAATATTTAATTTATAAAACCTGATTTAAAAATCTCAACACACACATATATATATATATATATATATATATATTTAAAATTAATTTTATCATGATGAAATCAAATTATCATATTCAATTTAATAATTTAAGATTTAAGAAATTTTAACTTATTCAATAAAAATATTTTAAGAATGATAAAAATTAAAATCAAACTAATTCAAATGTCAAAAATTTAAAATTCTTTAAACTTGTAAAATTCTTCGTCTAAACCCACCATTCCACTGTAATTCCGGGCTCATTTTGATATTTGCTTATATAATATAGAGAAAACCTCTTCCATAAAATATATACATATATACATCAGAACTAATTATATTTCAATAATCTACTTCAACCCCGGTGACACGCGAATCATCTTTTCACCAGAGTCGATTCAAGATGGTAAACGCTAAGGTCACAACGCCAATCGTTAAGCGAGGTACATCGAGTCCAGGTCATACTTATCTGAATAGATTTCAAAGTTACATCTAATGTTTTGAAGAAAACAAAATCTGATATACTTTACTAGCAGTTGCTTTAGTTTAGTGAAATAGAGGGATAATTTTTCATTTATATAATATTTATATCAGAATTAAGTGATAGCCAAAAACTTTGTAAAATATCTCATTTTATGAAATTTTCAAATAAGGCGAATGTTCACTTGAGTGTAAAAATCTGTCCCTCCATTCTTCCCTCCAACCCGAAACTCCCACCACCCGACGTAGCCTTCGGAGACCCCAAATTTATGTACTCAAATAATAAATGCTTTGCTTGCAGCCAGCAAATTGTCATCCAAGGTAACATAACACGTCCAAATTGCACGAGAAATTGTAATGTAGAGAAATACAGGAGAAGAGAAAAAAACCAACCAGGCAAAAGAATATAAATGAGCAAACACTCAATTTTCTAGCCACTGCTTCAATCGAGATCGTTTATGATCCTGTCATAAGTCAGCGGTAAGGTATTGTACCAGTAGTATACAACAATGCTACTTTCAGTACTAAGATGCATATATCCAGCTCTACCGTGAACGCATGAGTAATAAAATATAAAATGAAAAAGGGATCATCGTTTAACGAAATTCCTCACCAATTCTAGTAGGTGACAATTCAAAAGAACATTCCTGAAAAGGCAACTTCAGTACAAAATCACGTCAAGATTGAGGTGCCCCTGCAATTACCAGAACAATCATCATGACAAAATCGGAGAAATACTTCAGACGTGAACAGTCGCGATTGTAATTTTTACATTAACCAGACTTCCTCTCTGAAAACAGTGGCGATAAGAAAAATTAAGGAGCAAGAGAGTAAAAAAGGACAAAAACTTTACCTGTGACTGTAACTGCTAGTATGGATCTTCTTAAACCTTCAAAGCAGCTTTATGGACCATGGTTTCCTTGTGTATCTGATGACAGCTCTTCTCCACAAGATCAAGCAGTTTCTCCAAGTTTGCTGCCCAAGAGTTAAGAATATCATTGCTATCCTTGGCTGTTTGAAAACAGACTATTCCCATTGGCCTATCGATCTTTGCCACCAGCGCCTTTGACACAACCATATCTGAGAGATGCTTCTCAGCTTCCTGAATTTTGTATGAAGTATTAATTAGGATCATCAAACTAAAAAATAGACAGTATTTTAAGAAAATGAAATGAATTCAGTTACAGCATCCATATACACAAGCAGCTCAACAATAACCAAAATAAATCACCACTTGTGATAAGTGAACTCCAGCATCACGCCAACATAAACAGACACTGCTAACCACAAGTATCATAATTCTTCCTTTGAAACACTAGTATGCAGTGGCAGTCTGTCAAACTAGGGAGGGCCTACGAGCCATTTAAAAACTGTAAAAAGCACACAACAACTAGAATCACCAACCTGTACACTGAGACACAAAAGCTCTGCAAGTCTCTTCAATGTAATTCTTGTGTAGTATTTTGATACAACAAGAATATTCTGAAAAGTAACAAAAATGCTCCATGTTAATGCTCACAAAAAGAAGTACAAAACATAAATCTTATCACACAATACCAACCAACAAAATTGATGGGGTGAAAAGAAATATGGCATTAGTTACTTACATGTTCAATAATTCTTTGCCTCAGATCTTCTGCTGCCTTTTCACCCAAAGATTTCCCAGTGGCCTTCTCATTCTCAAAATCACTCTTATATGTATCCCATAAAGTCGTCCATTGGATAACCTCCATGGTAACAATCTGTTTTAAAAGTAGCCTGGGCACAACATATAACAGGTACACCAAATGAATGAACACAACTTGGAAGACATGAGATAAAATTGAAGATAACATACTTGAAGCTTGGAATCTCAGATAGGTTCTTATCCTCCAGGGTGGAATTGAGAAGGCTTGACTGCATTGGATCATATGGTGATAGAACCAAGTACCAACATATTTTCCTTAGGATCTACATTACATGTAAAAGATAATATTCAGAAGAAAAAAAATATCATATAACAACTGCATCTCAGTAACAGAAAAGGCTAAAAAAGAAAAATAGGAGAAAACTTACTGGAACCCACTTGGCAGGATCTTCTTTGACAGATGGAATCTCATATATTGCCTTGTAGCAACGGCAAATTTCAAGATAATCATTGTTATGGGTATAATACCTTTAAACATAACATAAACCAGCATAAGACAACTAAGACTTTAAAATCAGCAGCACTAAATAATTAATTAAAAAATATGTAGCATGAAGGTTCAATAAACAAACTCATTTATATTTAATAGTATTTAACATTAATGAAGTGCAAAAGTCATAAAGAAGCATTCCACCAAATTTCAAAAGCAGTGCACAATTGGCTGGTACAATATACTCAACTATGAACATTATTACTGTTAAATTTTACATAATGTTCCCCAAAAACAAAAAATTAAATAAAGTAATTCATTAAGATTAAACAGAAAACACAGCATAAATGACAATTGATAAATAAAGCAATGATATACCAAATATGGATCACTCACAACATGACAAACACAATGGTGCAGTAGTTAATGAACCTGTATTGGAATAACAAAGTTGACAAAAAAGGCCTTGACTTTGCAATAGAAGACATTCCAAGGAGTAACATATTTTCCATTCTCAAAAAATAAAAATGCTAAAAATGAGAGATCTTCAGGTCTGGAGGATTAGCTTATGGGAAGGAAAATCAAAATAAGTTAAAAGTAAGGTTTTGGAGAAGTTGTTAGAAGAGAGTTTCTATAGATTAGCTTATGCTTAAGCTAATTTAAACTAATAGAAAAGCTTATTTCATTTAGTCCTTATTTTTCTCTCGTAGAAGTTCTTCTGGAGAAATTTACCCAAGCAGGCCCATAATCTATTTCATTTGGATTGTCAATAAAATCACTTTTTTATAGTAAAATTACAAACAAACAAAAAATTGAACTATTAAGTTACTTACAGAAGTTGGTTTTGTATTTGAAATAATCAATAAATGTGAATTATTACAGATTAATAATTTACAGTTATTATTAATATTATGTTATGTTGTTAGTCAGACAGCTAGTTTCACAGGGATGGCAACGGGGCGGGTCGGGTACGGGTTTCATGATACCCGTCCCCGTCCCCGCGAGTTAAACTCATCCCCGTCCCCGTACCCGTCGGGTATGTGATTTTCATCCACATCCCTGTCCCCGTCGGGTATCGGGTATACCCGTACCCGTAAAATATGATATTTTTAAATTATTTTTTTATTATATTATAATTATAATTAAGTTATTTTTCTATATCATTTTATAATAAATAATCACACATAAAAAAATATTAAAATTTTTTAATATAATTAAATTAAAAGTGGGTATTAAATTAAAAATGTAAACAGGGACGGGTACGGGGCGGGTAAGTACGTACCCGTACCCGATTTAAAGTATCGGGTTTTACCCGTACCCGTACCCGGTCAAACCGGGTATTCCCTGTCAAAGTCGGGACGGGTTCGGGTATTCCCCGCGGGTACGGGTATATTTGCCATCCCTCACTTTCACTGTGTAACTATCCTTTATCTGTAACTGACTGCTGAGTCAGCAGCCAGATAGCTAAATGTGTACCATCAGTTTCTTATAGCTGTTTGGTTCAGTGTTCTCTTGTGTGAATGTGGATCAACTTGAAGCAAAAAATACTTGCTTCGGCATCATTGAGGCATTTTGGGCGTGGTATTGTAGCAAAAATGTGGATCCTAAACTCAGATCCAAACATGCTATTAATTAATGAATCATTTTATCTCTTTCTAAATTTTATCTTCAGTTTCTTTCTAGAATCTTTTTCTCTGTTTTCTATTATGAATAAAATGGGAAAACAAAAGTTAGCTAGAAAATAATCGAATGGCTTCTAATAATAACCTGAAAGATTATACCTGTGACAAAAAAACACTTTTTTCCCCTTCAACTATTTTACCAAACAAAAAAGTTTTAAAAAAGGCTTTTTTAGCTTAAAAGGGACCCACCATCCCCCAGCCCTCAAAATGAAAAATAAGACCATCCTATCGAAACATGGTAATCCACTAAAGATAATTGCAGAATTGAATCCCAAATGGTGGCACTGGGTGACTAGCACCAAAACAACTATGGCGGCAGCAGGCTGCAGACATACCTGTGTTGAGGTTATGATACACATTGAATAATTTATTCTACACACAAATACAAGCTAAATAAAAAACCCAAAATTGAAGACATTTATAATTAATAATCAAAAGTTATAAATTTGAAGCTAAACAAAAAAATGGCAATAAAAAAAAAGCTGTGAATCAATCATATTTATGCCTCTAAGAGGGAATAGAGAGTTGCATTGGAGAAAGAACTGAAGGGCGGGCAGAAGAGGTGCTGGAAAGTGGAAACAAAGCCATATAGATGTGATTTGCCAGAAACAAGATTTGCTAGCCATAAATAAAGTTTTAGGTTCACCAGAATTGAAAAGGTTGTTTTTGTGTTCGTTCTCATGACAGAAAGAGTGAGTCTGGTACCCTATACCTTATGTTACAAATGAAGACAGAAGACTGAAATCCAAAATACAGAATAAAAACAAATAATTGGCAATAGTAGAGACATCCATGAACTCCGATCTGCATTTTATGTTTTAATACAAATGAAAATAATCACAAGAATGGCCAACAAAAATTTAGTTCCATATATATAGCTAAAGGAGACAAACACAGAAAGCTTTAGATCCACTAATACTCCCAAGTGTATTTAAGCAAACCAGAACAAATGCAAGCAAAGAGAGATTGAATAAATATTGCAGGTAGACAGTCATTGGCACTATGCCTTATTCATAGGCATCTCAAATGCACGTATTGGACCAACTTGCAACACTTAGGCTGACAACAATAACATATCCTCAAATGTTACCAAAACAGAGAAGCATAAAAACCAGATTATTTTACCATTTACTTGATGTTGCCTTATTTCAAATAAAATGGAAAGAGATATCAAACATGGTTACAGCACAATATAAGTAACTAAATCGTGATAGAACAACAAAAAGAAGGAAACATGAAGTACATATTCAATTACCGAATCATTAGTTCATAATAGATCTGCTTCAACTCCAACAATGATGGTATATCTGCAGGGGCCTCTTCAACAACATTATCACCTTCTTTAGGCTTTTTCTTTTCCTTCGATGTATCAGCATCAAATACTCTAGGACTAATCTTTCTTGAGAGTATCTGTGCACGAACATAATCCTGGCGGTCTAGACACAAACGAACCTACACAATTTGACATAGAAGATTCCGAAATCAGCAACTGAATTGCAAAACAAGAAACTAATGGCCTGCTAATGCTGTCATCACATAAACTCGGGAAGATGACTCATACTTGTTCAAGAATGAATGCGATTTTCTCAGTTTTGGCCATGGCACCAAAAGTTTCCACCTGTTAAGATTACCGATTCCGTAAGTATACTGAAAACTAATTAGTTACATCCAAAAACCAATGATATATAGAAGCCATCAAAACATGACACGTTCACACTGACCGCAATTTCTTGCATCAAATCAGCAGCTTCAGCTATAAGCCCTTGTTCTTCCTTAATCTTTGCAAGTTTCTTGATCAATCGAGCTCTCTCAATTTCCACATATATCTAATAAATGATACAGCATATAAATCATATACATAATGCTAAAATGAAAAATTATAAAACAGGAAAAAAAGTTCAAACATCACACTCACCTTTCCTGCAGACACACTGTTCAACGTTTTGATGAGTTCTACACGAGTTTCAACATCTGGTGTCTCATCAATATATTGCATAGCCTGCTGCACCATAGCTGTTACAGCCTGCAAAAATATAGTCAGTTCATTAATAACAGACAACACCATGATTCATGTACCATTTAAGGTTTTAAAAAATGGTCTGCAACCATTATTTCAGCTGCTACGTTAATGTTTTAGGACTCTCCGCAACTGCAACATTTGCGGTAATTTGTCATAATATCAAGGATGACTGGGATTTAAAACCTTGGAACCTTTTACAGAAACATTTAAATTTTAAATAACATCTGTACTAAACTCCTATCAATGAAGAAGTTATGAACGTGGTTATTAGATAGCCTACTTGCACATAACTCTACACGGTAGGGAACTATCACTCACGGTCCTAACATGCTAATAAAAACAATGAAATCAAAATCAATTAACATATATACTCTTTGCTGTCTAAGCAAAATTCTCGTCACTCGTGCATATTTCATTCACCCGAAATCACTAAACATTTGTAAAGCTAACTGACAATTTTTCATTCTAAGTGAACAAACAACTACTAATTTTTCTTTCTAACTGACAATGAAGAATTTTCATTCTAAGTGAACAAACAACTACCAATTTTTCAAAGCTTACTAAAACCCTAAACCTCCTTTCACAAAACACACCACAGCGCGATTCACATAACCTATGAGATTTTTCCACACTAGAAAACAATAATAGTAATAATAATCGAAGCACGGCGAGTACCTGCTTGAGCTGGCCACGTCGTTTCGACAAAACGACAATCTGGTCATTGAGGGTTTTCCATGCTCGCGCATCGAAACAGAGCTGCAAAATATCGGTGACCGCCTTTCTCGTCCCGGCCACGTCACCGGCGAGCCTCATCTGCTTCTCCACGTTCAGCAACTGCTCTATCGCCGCGTCTAAATTCCCCGTATTCGCCTACAAAAATTTCAAAAGCAACCATTAGTTTCAGTGGCGCAATCGTCGACTTTCAGCTCACAGAAAACCCTAGGCCAGGCGCTACTGGCAGAGAGTAATTGAAAGCAACTAGTACGCAAAGTTAATGGCGGAAGTGTGAAATAAAAGCAGAAGACGCGTGCAGCAACAAATTAACGAGAGGGATCTGGAACGGCTTGGATCCATGAATGGATTGAATGAAAGGGGAAGGAGCGAGAAGCGAGGGTACCATGGTTGGGTTGTGGGCGAGAGAGAGATCTCCGAAGGAACCGTCAATTATTGAAAATTGAAAATGGAAGAAAAAGTGGAAGAGGGGAGAAAAGAAGAGTGAAAAAAATACTATGGACCCTGTTTTTATAGTATTCATTCAGGCCCACCTCAGCCCAACGACAGTAATAGCCTGGCCCGATCCGCCTCCCTTTGTTTTTTCGAGTGACAAGTAACAACTATGCTTAAATTTCTGTCTATATAAAAATGTACAATTGTTCGGAAGAAATATGTGTACTCATAAAAAAGAAAAAGAAAAAATGCATATACATTTTTTAAAAATAATTTGTAAGTTGGTTGAAAATATATTTTAAAGAATTTATACTTTCTTTACCAAAAGAAAACTTTTATTGTTTCAAACCCTTATATAGATTTTTGTAGAAATCAATTTCACTTGTTTTACATTCAATATTTTACTTATGGTAGAAATTAAGTGAATCAACCGTTTTTAAAATTTTTAGTTATTGAATAATGATTGATCTTTGTTAAAAAAGTTGACCGACCATTTTCATAAAATATTTCAATTGACGATATGGAAGTCATCAAGAAATTCGTTTATTGTTGGGAGAGGGAGCCTATCTTTAACACTACTGGCATTCAATGCATGATAGTCGACACAAAACCTCTATGTTTCAACCTTCTTCTACATAAGAAAAACCAAAGATGAGAAAGGACTCTCACTGGGTTTTCCTCCATAGCTCATCTTGACAGCACTCAATTTCCTTTTATTTTTTTTAATGAGGGTGAGAGTTAGGACATACACTAATGAGCATTACATTGAGAAGTAGGTGGATGGCATGATCCATTAAGTGAAGTGATGGAAGGGAATGAGGAGCTTGAAAAAGTGTAAAGACAATGTCAATTGATGTTTGTAAAACACGTGGGTAGGGGTGAGCTTAAGGGAGATGTGCGTGGAAGAAATAGACTCCATCTATACGTGAAAATAGGTTGTGGTCTGATGAGTGGAGATAAAACGATTAGTTTGATGGTAGTTTAGCTCAAGTGTGCTTGGTCGCTCGCGATCCTTTAGTTCTATTTGTTGGGCATCATCCGTGAAACGCATAATGAGGTGATTGTAGTTTGTAACAAATGGACCAAGTGTCTTACGCCACACAACACCAAAAAGGAGATATGTGTTCGTGATGATCATAACGTAAAAATATACAATGAATCAATGGGCTTGTATAAGAACAAGAATTGAGAAACCATACCATACATCCTGAATAAAGTTGTGGGTACCACCCCTATCAATTAGGATGACAAGCTTATGCCCATAGATGGAATCCATATCTCAAAATGTTTCTGTGGTTGGCTGATCTGACATTGCAATGAGACTAATTTGAATCAAGGCAGTATCATGATAGTCAAGTGAGACTTACATTTGCTATTGAGATTGTAGTGTTCATTACAATTATAACATAGGTTTTTTTTCAACTGAGTGGCCAATTCTGTTAGAGTGAAGCATTTTTTAAGGATGGTTTGGTTGATGCAAGAAGTAGAGGGGGTTTAATGGGGGAATAGAGGACAATGATGGTATTGTTGTTACTGAAATTGGATTGGTGATTGACTTAATCAAAACACTAAACAGTGGATCATTAGTTGAATCAATATATTATTAAAAATATAATTTTATATTAATTATACAATTTAACATTTTTTTAAACATAAACCGAACTAAATTGCTAGCGTAATGGTTAATTAGTTACAAACAAGTTAAAGACTTTGGTTCAGACTCCAAAAGATGTTAAACGCAAGCAAACGAGAGTACATAGACAAAATGTGCATTGAAAGAAAGACTAAAAAAAAGGAAATTAAATAGGTTGAACCGTAAATTTCGAGTCACCGATTAAATCATGATTTGGATAGAGGAGTTGGAAAGATGCGTGAGCATTATGAAGAACGCAAATCCATTGGATTTATTTTTTCTGCCTGTAATTTTCTTTACATATATTACATATTCTGTACTTTTTTTTCTCATTGAATATAATTTTTTTAAGTATTATTCTCTAATCAAATTTAAATTTTGATCTCAATAATATACAATTAAAGAATTGTACATAAATTTTGTACTTTTATTTGTGCCATCACCGTGTTACTGAGACCAATGGTCACCTAACAATTAATTTAACACTAAAAATCATTTTTGTGAATAATTTGTATAGAAACAGGTTAGCGGGTTCAAAATCAGATAAATTGCTAAAAAAAAAGGAAAGCAAATTAAAATGGTTTGTTGGAAAATCTTTAATATTTTTATATTAATTAACGTTTCCGCATTTATTTTTTTTAGATTAATTGATTTTTTTTCCCGGTTTATAAAAAGAACCCAAACTTTAATATTTTTACATTAATTGGAGTATTTAATAATGTAGTTAACGTGAGAAAGAAAAGAAAAATGTATTCATATTTTGCAGTTTCCGTGTCTCTCCCTCCTTCTTTCTATTTGCTATTTCCATTTCTCCTACGCCTGCGAGTAGAGTAAGAGGGACTTCCTACTTCAAGGGTTCCACAAACAATGAAAATCCACCATGGATGATTTTTCTCACTCCGACTCCGAGATACACCACAGTCCACAGGGACCAACCACCATCCTCAAGCGTTCCTTCGCGACGCTAAATTTCCGAATTCGACGGCGAACGAACCCTCCAATTTGAAAAATGAGGTTTAACGACAACGCTATGAGTTGGATTGGCGTAACGCTAGGTGGCCTCGTCGGCGTAGTCGGTGCGATACTGGCACTAAGAGATGGCAAAGTCGCGATTCCATTTACCTTACCGTGGTCCTTCGGTACAGACAATAGTAGCTTCGAGAAATCGCTCTTTGTTCCTGGCTTGCAGAACCTCCACAACAATTGCTTCCTCAACGTCGTTTTGCAGGTAAGCCTTCGCTGTTGCTTCTCCTCTTTCTTCAATCGCCAATTGATTTTTTTTATGCGCAGTGTGCAAAAATTATATTATTGTTGTTATCTTTTTTTTTTTTTTTTGGTTGCAGGCTCTTGCCAGCTGTTTTTGCTTTCAGAGTTTTGTTCATGGCGTGATTGGCGAGTGCAGGAATAAGGACCTGGATGAAAACATGCCTCTTGCATTTTCTTTGGCTACTTTGTTAGAAGGTAGTAGAAGAACCTTATTGAGTATGAACATGTTTGGATAAACTTCGGAAGAAAAAATGAAATTAGTTTTTCCATAACTTCAATTAGTTTATGCTTAAGCTAATTTATAGAACTTATGTAATGTTAGCTTTTCTAAAAAAAAAATTTAACTCACATGTAAGGTAATTTTATCTGCTCAGAGATAAATTTATTTCAATTTTCCTTCCTATTTAAAGTGTTTTTGGAGAATTTTATTCAAACAAGCTCTATGTTTTCGTCTTTGCATTTCGCATTGCAGTTGTCGTTTGAAATTGTTGATGGAATGTTCTGTATTTGTAGAGCTGAGTTCACTAAGCGCAGAAAGGGTTACACTGAGTCCCCGAAACACAATGCTGGCCATGTCGAATTACATTCCAAATTTTAATCTGACTAGCCAGCAGGTAGAATTGCTTGTGCGATAGCGATTGCCAATAATGTTTTAGTTCTCTTTGTTGTTCACGCTTGGTTTTTGTTTCTTGTAGGATGCTGCTGAGGCGTTTCTTCATCTGTTATGCTCTTTGAGAGAAGAATTTGGAGGTTGTTATGCTCCAAAGATGAGTTCTTTAGCAGACATTTTTGCTTCTAATAATAGAATTCTTACTCCAATACAGAGGGACTGCCAGAGTGAGCAGGAGAGATGGCAGCAACTCTTCCTTGGACCTTTTGATGGGATTCTTGGAAGCAGCTTAACCTGTCAAAGTTGTTCATCTCAGGTACATGGGACTTTCCTCAATGCTATATAATAATCTTTTCCCCATTAATTGCACACACACTCCATTGTCATTGTTCGTGATTGTAATATTAGACTGGCTTCATTGAAAACTGTGACTTAACATTGATGCATCTTTGACTGAGGTGCATTGTGTTTGAAACCATTGTATAGCTGGAGACTAGGAGGGCTATGGTTCAGAGACATATTTTTGTTGGCTTGCTGTGTTGATTTGACGCTGTTGCATTTGGCAGGAAAAAGATTGTATGGTAACATTACAGCCGCTTCATAAAACTTATAGGAAAAGAATAAGTTAGTAATTTAAAAATGGTCAGCAATGCAGAAAAATATAGGAATTGAGGTTATAGGATGGTGTGGCTTGAGTTTTAGAAGTTAAGAAAAAGCTAAATTTTGGTTTTCTGTGTGTTACTTTAAATTTTCTGAAGTTTGAGTGTGCACATGTGGATACATTTAATAATGGCAATAATATGAAGGATAAATTTCGAGGTCACTTTGTTGGCTGAGTTTGCTCAGTAGTTCACATTCTTAAGCCACTACTTTGACAAGACTTATTGTTACCTGCAGGTTATGGAAATGACCAAAGCCAACTCACTTAATTACTCCAAACTTGCAATCCAAGTTATTGATGACCTGATATTGTACCTTTTAGCTGCAGATTTAGCTGTTGATTACAATTTAGCTTTACATTATTTTTTTTTAAATAACTTCCTGAATCATTATTCTCAATGTGATTGTGATAAGATAATGTCTCTTTTTAACAGTCATTTATTTTATTATTTTTAACTTATTTGCTTGGTGCAGATCTCAATTAATTTTGAACATTTTGATTGCTTGCCTCTTTCACCTGTGCTTAGCGATACTTCCACCATAGTAAGTTTTTAAACTAATGTAATGTAACAAATACCGTAGCTTCACTGTTATTTCTTTTATAATTGAAGTGCTGCATACCTCCTGTAGCTCCCTGATTATTAAATGTGACATGTTACAGAGAGTTGGTTGTACACTGGTGGATTGCCTGAAGCAGTTCATCGGTGCTGAACATGTTGAAAATTATCACTGCAGCCACTGTTGGCATAATGCAGCAATCAAGTATCTTTCTGTAATGGAAGGAAATGAGGTAATCCCATTGTGAATATTTTATTCATTTCGAGATAGATAAAAGCAGCTTAGGGATGCATAGTTGGTGGTTGCCGAATCCAACAACTACTCGTTATGTTGCCCTATATGATATCTGTGTCATTGTTACACAGGTAGAACTTGAAAAACTAAGGAGATGCTCTGACCCAGAAATCTGCGATTGCCAAAAAATGTATAATCTTGATAAACTACCTTGGTCAAACAGGTTTTCACATACTCTGAAGCAACTAAGTATTGCTAGATGTCCAAGGGTATGCATATTGTGTTTTCTGAGCTAGCATTTCTAATTTTCTCAAGAACATTTTCTTTTGTACTTCAATATCTGAACTAATGAAACATAGTCGGGTTGCAGATTTTATGCATCCAGTTGAAAAGAGTTTATATGAATGTCTTAGGAGATTTAGTCAAACTGCAGGTACTTGAATCTTTTTGATTGTGCTTTTAATTAGGATGTAAACTTGACAATTATTATTGATTGGCTGAACTTGAACAAAAGTGGTAATAACCGAGTAGAATATGAATATTCATTGAATTTTATGGTAGAAATTTTTGTCCTGATGATAGTAATGCAGGGACATCTTTCTTTTCCATTGATTTTGGATGTGTCGTCATTCATGACAACTAGGCTGGGAGTAAAGACACAGGACATAGATGTACAAAGTTTGCCATTAAATTTGAAGTATAACAAAAGAATTTTTTTGCCAAATCAATCTGACCAGCAATCTGAGATAAGAACAATGAAATTTAGTGGTCTTTATGGAGCAATGAAAGAGCCGATCAATTCAGATGGTCTCATTGATGATGGATTTGTCTCTTCTACAAATGGACATGCACTTCATTATGATTCTGTATTACCCTGCTCTGGCTCTTCAGAAAGCATTCACTTAGATACCCATATGCAACCCGTTGACAAGGTTGGTTTAATTGTTTTTTGATATTGATTAATTTTTACTGTTCTTTGAAATACTTTGTCTGTGCATAATAATGCCCCCTTTAAAGAAGCTTCATGGATATCCATTTATTTGTCAAAGTATAAACTAAAATTTTCTTTCCTGTGGGTAATTTCTTTCATGTCATGATCCAAAACAAAATTTTTCTCAAGCCATTTTTTTAGATTGTGCTAAAATCAAACTCAAAAGCATTCTACTATTAAGTTAGGGGGATAATACTACCAATAATGTAATATTGATGCATTTTTTTTTTCCGGATTGGACCCTTCATATATCCCTTTTATTTCTCCCCTGTGGGCTATGCCAATACTTCTGTGATGCGTGTAGACCTGAAATGAATTAAATGAATTTTTTTGGTGGGATATTCTTAATCTTATAAATGGAAAGATGATTTATATGATGGTAGGGGAGGTATTTTTCTTCTTCTCACAATGTTGTGTACATAATGCAGGTAGATGTTTCTTGTAATTTAGTTTCTCAAGAAACATGTTTGTATCAACTTGTTTCTGTGGTGGAACACTTTGGAAAAGCTGGAAGTGGGCATTACACTGTTTACAGATGTGCAAGAGTGGAGTCCTCGGAAGATGTCTCTGATGACTACTTTAATCAAACTCAAATGCGTTGGTTTTGTATTTCAGATTCTCAAGTGCATGCTGTTTCAGTGGAAGATGTTCTTTCTAGTGATGCCAGTTTGCTTTTCTATGAGAAAATTCCAAGGAACTGAAAAAAGGGAAGTTCTGGGTTCACAAAATGCATTGGTTGATAGTTCCGACTTACAGGAGTCTGGTGCGGCGTTTTAACGCTCCACGAGTGGTATAAGGACGTGCTGAAGTTGTTCCAAATTGCTAGACAAGCTTTTGAGGGGGTAATTATAATGCTTGGAATGGTTATTCAGTTGTTATTGTACTCAAAATGATTATTCATTTTGTTTCCTTATTGTGGTTACGCCCATAAAAGCTTTTTTAGGTATTTAAAAAAAAAAAACTGATCTCGGCAGCTACAGTTGCAGCAGAAAGCACGAACTTATATTAATACTTGATATGGTTATTGACCGGGAGTCTTGCATTGGGAATGTCGTTGACAAGAGCTGGGGTATTAAATTTCAGATTGAGTAGTGTGGGATACTTGGTGCTTGGTCTCTCCCCTTAACTAGTAATTTTTAAGAGATTTTCGGTATTGGAGTTATTGCTGAGTAACTGTTCAACGGGGATTTCAATGACGGGCAATTTCAACATAACTGCATGGCGTGTGGCCATTCAATAAGAGAAATATAAGAGACATTTAAGAGAAATAAATTTATTTAAGGGTATTTTTTGTATAAAAAAAAAACTAATATAAGAGACATTTAAGATTCTTATAAAACAAAAATCAAAGAACGCTCTTGATTTGAAACTTATAAAAGAGTCAGACAGAGTATTGCTTTTATCGTATCTGACACTTTGCAGATTATGTATATCTTAGAGTATCTGCAATGGGGTTGTTTATAAGTAATTCCCTGTGTCACATCAGTGTCATGTCAGTCCTGACTCACTTTATGGGTTGCTTAAATTTTAGCAGAGTTGCTTGATGTTCTTAGGCACTAAAGTAACAATTCCAAACCGTTGAGGTACTAAATGTAAATGTAAGATGATGAAGAGTTGCATGTGATGTACTTGAGTGCCCCATTCAACTTCTAGATAGCATTATTAAGGAGATTTAGCTCTGTTGATTGAGTATTTTTAATACCGTATTTGATTCGATAAAAAAAAATCTTGATGGCATTCAGTATAATTGAATAAAAAAAAGGAGGATTTGACAATTTTATTATGTAAAAAAATATTTAAGATACCAATTTCATTTATGATCGAGATTCACGTTATATATATATACATATATAGGAGGGTTCAAACGACATTAGTGTAACTTTTACTAAGTGTTACACCACTTAATAACTTTATATTAAATGTGAATTTTGAAAATCTAATCGTTAGATTGAAAGTTCATATCTCTTAGATTTTATATATCAAATTTTATTAATTTAAGATGATTTAATACTTCATTTTTATAAAACAAAATTGACGTAATATATATATTTCAAAATATACTAAAATATGAACATTTTGATTACTGTCAAGTTATTGTTCAATTTTAACAAAATTTGACATATATGATCTAAGAGATATGAACTTTCAATCTAACGGTTGGATTTTCAAAATTCACATTTAATATAAAGTTATTAAGCGGCGTAACATTTAATAAAAGTTACACCGGTATCGTTTCAATCTTTTTCATATATATATATATATATATGATCATTTCAATTAATTTTGACTAAACTATTTGAAAAAAACACTTGTGGGTTGGATTTTCAATAGTTATAACTTATAACAACTAACAAGGTTAGAACTTTTACAACTTCATGCAAGTTACCCAATTCTTCACTATCAGGCTTATCGGAGTTTGTGGTTAAATATTTTGAGTCACTGACATGTCAATCCATATTCCATACAATAAGCATAGCGCAGGTGATTGTGTTTTCGTTATCATGGCCCGGCTTGTACATAATATCCCTGTTAGCTGTTAGTTTTAGTTATAAGGAATAATAGTGTGTTTGAATGGATAATTTAAATTAATAATTTATTGTTTTAAAATTTTTTAAATGTTTTTGGATGAAATATTTTGTTTGAATGAAGGATTTATAAAGAATATAAAATTTAAATATTTGTAAAAAAATTTAAAATAGTAGAATTTTAAATTATTTTTTTAAAAAGTAAGAATTTGAAAATTTGTATGTTTTTCTTTATCTCACTTATATGAAAAATATTAATAATCTTTTTAATTATCGAGTGTTCAAAATATTTTTTAAATTATTAAATATCACTTAATATTAATTTTTGAAACTATTAAATATTTAAAAACTAGTTAATATTTATTTCTTAATTATTTATGCCTTTTGAATTTTACTTGAGTAAATGTTATACAACCTTTCATGTGAAAACATGGCAAGGAATATATATATATATATATACATTTACATGGTACGGAATATAATTATATAGTCAATAATTATAAATTTCTTTATTGTGTGTTGTAATCGAAAATATTAATATATTTAATTTCAAAATATAATTAATTTATATCTAGCTATAAATAATTTTTTTTCTCTTAATATGCTTATATATATATATATATATTATGTTTTATTAAATTTGTTGTCATTACACTTTTTGTTAGTTTTAAAAAGTATAATTGAAATACTTGTATTCTTTTTTAATTACTTTTACCATACAACATATGGATGCTATATTAAAATAAGTCAGAAGAGGTTGTAAATTGTAATGGAGCATATATGTAAGTTTATATCACTGTTCTAAAATTTCAATAGAGATCTCGTATAGTACTGTACTGTACACATGCATATTTTTTATTCATCTTTTTATATATACACTATGCTTTGTGTAGGAAAGACATAGGGTGATTTTCCTACGTACCGTGTATTCTAGCTATAATTAATTACAATGTTATAAAGTAGAAAAAACTTTGAAAATATATGATACACTTTTTGTAGTATATATAAAAATAAAGAGTGGCACAAAATTGGCATCAATTCAAATTGTGGATTGGTGGCTTCCTTCTGGCTGGAGTGTAATCCATTGAGAACACTTCGTTTCCATTATCTTTACCTTCTTTTGGCTTAAATACGTTATCATGAGTTTCCTTATGAGTTGTACTAGAATCCCCACTGCTAACCGTGTTGCTTTTCTCTTTCAGTTTTCGTGCTGCACATATATACAAAATTACCAATAATGAAAAATAATAATTAACTAAATTTTATATTTATAACAAAAACTAAGAAGTGGAATAACATGAGAGTGATCTCATATCCAATGAACATGACTATGATCTATACATACATATAGTACAAATTAATATATACCTCTTGCATGGATAGAGATGAAGCATAGGAGGAAGAAAAGCACAAGTAGAATGCGTTTGTTTTGCACAACCATCTTACTATAATTAAACTATGGTGCTCTATGACTAGATTTTGATGATCTGAATATATACACAATATACAAGTTCATTATTTGGGACCCTTATAGACATAAAGATTTAGCTTGCTTGTAGTTGTAGGAAGTTGGAAAGAAGATTATGTATCATGGTGGTAGTTTGTACATATGATCTACGAGGGTCACCATCGTTGTCTGCTGCTGTCTGGATTGAAATGACGGGTATGTGTTTTTGGGAAAAGTCTTTAACAAAAAAATAATAGAGTAGAAATTCATGATCGATATCCATGAATGTCAACTTCCACCATTTATGTACGTGTATTTGGGCCATATCACTTTTCTTTATAATATTGCCAACTGCTTCTTGTATTGTGTTAATATTAATATTGTTTTCCATGAGCCACTTCCATAATTGTTCCTTACGTAAAATTTATAATCATTTTTATCTAGAAAGTAAAATGTTTATTCGTTGATAATGAAATGGGATAGTAAAAAGTTGATCCTTTTGATTTTTGGGACTTTAAAAAAAATAAAAATACGTGGTGTTATGCTTAAATAATGAAACCGATCCAAGAAATCATATAATGATTTTTCCATGTATAGTTTGTATGCAGCCGCGTTAAATTTTGGGGCCAGTTATCTCACTTTTTGAGGTGTCTCCAACATAGCGAGAAGATTAGTCACTACTATTGACGGTGGATATTCCAGAGATGAACAAAAAAAAAAAATATTTTAAGAGGATAAAACTGGAGCAGCAAAGTCATTGATTTCTCATACTTATATATTGTTAATTGTGTTTGGTAAAACATTTTAAAACTTATAAATTATAATTAAAATAAATTTGTTTGGTATGAGAATTTGTGCAAGTTTATTTTAAGAGTTGATAACTTATGTTCATAATAGCTAATTGTATTAGTTTATAACCTGTAACTTTTTAGTTTTTTTTTTGTTCTTTTTCTTTCTCTCTTTCTTTATTTTTATTTTTATTTTATTTAATTTATTTGATTTTTTTTTTTTAATTTAGAAACAATCTTCTCTATCATGTTATTCTCTCTCACTTTCATTATTAAAACCTTTTTTTGTGTCATTTTATATTTATCGGATAATTTTAGTAAACACTTTTAATTCAATTTATAAGTTTCTAATTAATATTTTAACTCTCAGCTTAACTTATAAATTTTCAACTATTTTATAAATTAATTTTACTAAACATGTTCATCGTTACAACTCCTTTCAATTTTGAGTTACGTTAACTAATTAAAAAATACTGCCAAGTTGAGAAAGCAACCCAGTTCTTTAGCACCAGATATCCATAATACCTCAGTGATTCATGTCAAACTATCAATATTTAACAAAAATTAATTTGGTTGAGGAAATATTGTTTATGGATCTTGATAATGGGCCATTAAATTGTGCCATAGTATATGGACAAAATAATTGTGAACGCTCAAATTAATTTAATCCAATTAATATATATACTCATAAAAAAATTTATTTCAATATTTGTTTTATTATCCTTGAAAAAATGAAAAAATTATTTATATTCCTATATTTAAAATTAAGAGAGAGAGAGAGAGAAAAAAACTAAAAAAAAATCAGAAAAGTAGGGGGAAAAAGAGGTGGGAAAAATAAAAAAGAGAAAAAGAAAAGAAAATGCCAATCATTTTAACATTCAAGTGTGAGTGTTTTTTTTACCAAAAATAATTCATTTTCTTATCCAAATTAATAGTAAACTAACCCATGATTCATATTTTCCTTTATAACAAAAAAAGAAGAAAAAAAAACTAATTAGCCTCCGCTACATGTCTTTGACACGTACCTGTAACGCATTAATGCATTTTGCTTCGGTCTTTAACTAACATATGTTGTCAACTTGTCATGGAAGGGAAGAGAAATTCCCATGTTATGTAAAATGTTTTTTATGATATTAATTTTGTAAGTTAATATTATTTTTTTTGCAATACATATTATAAATTATATATCTTCTATGACTCATAAATACCTAGGAGAGGTTAACTGAGCACTGAATAAAAGGGACAAATTTTCATACATAGTGTCTGTCCATGGTGTGGGAGAGTATTTTGTAAATTTAAGAGATTTATTAGAAAAAATAAAAATTTAAAGGATTGAGAGGAAATTATTTTATATTTATTTATTATTTTTGGAGAGGATTAACTTGTATTTTGGTGTTGAGGTTAGGAGGCCGTTGATCATAATCGCTTATGTTTGGTAATTGATTTTCCATTTCTGTTGTAGTAATCCCTGATAATTAATTACCAGCTATTTATACAAGAAGAATTTGAATATTTGAGTATCAATCTATTTGAGAATTGGCTTGATACTAGTCTTGCTTCATTTACTTTTAATACTATTATTATTATTATTATTATTATTATTATTATTATTATTATGTTTCTACTTGTCATGAATACGTCAAAGTTACATGCGTCTTGTTTTGTCCCAAAGCTAATTAATTATAATAGATTTGGGACAAATTTTGAGTTATTTTAATATAACAAATCAATGTCTTACATAAATTTAGACTTAATATATTATAAAGATAAATTGAACTGTTTTAATCTAAATCAATGTTTTATTTAGATTTGTCCAATGTAGACGTTTTTAAGTAAGATTTAAAGAGTCTTCTATACTATGTTTAAATATAAAAATTAGTAAACATAATAGAGATAGACTATGACACATCGTAATATACCGATATAGATAAAGAATTCATAAACACATATTTTTATATATATTGATGTAATATTGTTCATTTTAAAATCTAAGTAATCTCAATTATACTTTTAATTATCTCTTAGAAAAAAATTTATCAATAAAAATTGTATGTATTTTATCAATTTTAATTTATTCTAAAGATCTAATGAGGTAAAACTTTGTTTTTATTTCAACAAAGACCAAGCTTCCTAGTCCCTCCCATCACTTGAGAAACATAGAAGAGACTCATTAATTAATCGCATGTTATTGAGAGCACAAGATCAAAGGCACTCGTATCAATCTTGCTCATAGGTTACGATCATAAGAGCTCCTTTGATTTCCATACCAAAACCTAATCTATGCTTAGAAAACTATTTGACCTAAGTAATTACACCCGCCACTTAATTAGTATATAAAATAATAACGATACTCTTCCTCAAAGATATAATTCTAAAATTCTAACATTTAATTAATTACACCACCACCACCACCTCAAAATAATCAACGCATAACAGGAATAACTAATAGGTGATTCTTTTCTACTGAGCACCCTCTATTTTTGAAACTGTTATTTGTTTCGTATATTTCACCCTTTCCTTAAAAAAAAAACACACACACACACACTAAGAAATCATCATGCACACCCAATCGTTACCCTTTTTTTTTATTGCAAAATAAATAATAAAGAACTGTCAAATAGAAGGTCTGTTTTTGTAGGTGGAAAAGAATATAGACGTTGACTTTTGGATAAGAACTAAATTAATAAATAATTATAAGAAGAAGAAGAAAAAAAAATGCCATGGAGATCGGTATATATGAGTCGGGTGGGTGGAGGGTATTGTGTGTACAAATGATTAATTTAAGTATAATGTCCTGTTAATCATATAATTTGATTTGAGACATTTGAGTTGGGATAATTTAATGATCTAAATTTTACTTAAATACTTTTTTTTACACTATAAAGGGCTAATTTAGGAGCGGTGTGCTAAAAAATAATTACTTTTCTATTTATTTTCTTTTATTTTGTTTTTAAACCGGCTGGTATAATAAATATTTTAAAATTATTAATAGTTTATACATTCTTTTATATAGGTATGTTGGAAAATAAAGAATATCACATTTTTATTATAGTATTAATTTTTTGGATATATAAATATTTTTTTACAAAAATATTATTTTCTAAAATCAAGTTTCTTTTTTATTATAAGGTGTGATTATGTCATAATCTAACATAAAAATATTATATTTAGTTTAAAATAATAAAATCTAACAATTTACATATGATTAAACTATATGCAACATACATAGTAAATCAAAGTGTAAAATATAGTTATAATAATTTATTATAGTAAGAAAAATCTTAAATTAACAATTAAAATTAAAATATAAGAAAATTAGAAAACAATAAAGAACATATATAACGTTATTTTGCTTAAATAATTTATTGAATTTAAAAGCTAAAAATCATAATAATTAAGAAATTAACAATGTAGTTTTATAATTTATAAATTTTAAATAGTTATAAAAATACAACCTCTTATAAAAATTATATAATTGTTTGGTTTTTATTATTAGGTTAACAACCAAATATTCACATCACAAATAAACATAAGAATGAGAGACAGAGCTTACATGAAATCTGTGAGTGTACACAATGTTGTTATCTCTTTCTAATATTTGAAAAATGAACAATAAAGTTCATAAAAAAAATGAATATTTTAAAAAAAGATGAATTTTAACTATATATTTCATATTTTAAAAAGGATTTTAAGATTTGTTTTGTATATTTAAAACTTTATTTCTAATTCGAAAAATTTAGATTTTCAACCCTCTATATTCTTGTAAAAAAAATGAGATAAAAATAGATTTTAAAAAACTAAATTTTATTTTAAAAAATTTAAATAACTATCAAATGATAAATTATAATTTTCGATTTAAAATTCTCACGAATATAAATATTCTACCAAACTCCTTCCTCCTTAATCTAATAATCACATTTGGGTGAGTGTATAAAAAGTATTGTGATATTAAAATTTTAACTTTTTTATTTCCATAAATCGACTATGGAATCTAATTTAATTTTTATAGAAAAAAAACATTTTCTAAATTTAATTGATTACTTAAATAAACCAACAGAAACTTCGTTTTTATACTTTTTTTTATTATCTGGAACTTTTGTTTATTATATCATGATGATTCTAGCTAGTAGTGACAATGACAATCACACATTCAATCGTGCTAATTTAATGAAGGTTCATGTTCAACCCATTAATTTTAAGTGTTTTTATTGTTTATA